CAGTAGAGGTTAGAAATGTCTAGAAATGGCTCTGGGGTGTAATGTGAGTAGGTGGTCCATGAGTCGGTGGTCGCGATCTCCCCCTGCCGGAATTACCTTCTGCTTAAGGACACAGTTTTCTTGGCAGGTACCTGCAAGCTGTTACGGTTACTTCCCTCAGTTCCCATTAATCCTGGACCTTGACAACTACTTGCATTCTTCTAGTCCTATGTATGTATTATAAAACAGTTTACAAATCACCTCATGTTTTGTTACCTAGGTTCTAACCGTTCCTACTAAACAATTATGACCAATCCCTTTGGCCTTGGTATGGGGCTGTATAGGGAATTTTAGAGTAGCAGTCGGTTGCTAGATTCAAAATACAATAAAATAAATTATTTTTACTAAAATATCCCTTAATGCTATACTTATATTAAAATCAAACACAATTTCATTTCAGTTGATAATAAAATCAGTAACATTTCCCCCCTTTGAAAGTGTTGAAAATCATTTCAGTACTTTCACACTTTTATTCATTTTCATCTTTGAAGCCAAAGTTTGCCTTGCCAGATGGTGGTGGTGGCGGGCTGTGGTCTGGTGGCATAGTGGGTATTTCTTTCATAATTCTATGATATATTGCAAGCATATTAATAAACTATCTTTTAAGACAGGCATACATTAACATAATCATCAAAAGGACAATTAATAGCAAAAATAGAATTTTGATTAAGGATTTCAGCCAAGAGCTCAAATTTCATCCTAATCTACTACAAATTTTGCTAGTTAATCTTTTGACATATTTTCTCAAATTGTTTCTGTTTCTTTTCTGATTTTGTCTAACAGATCTTAATCATGTTCTACATCCTATGTAACATTCAGGATATGAATGCAGCAATGATCTAATCCATCTTTGAGATATCCACACACTCCATGCTCTTTTAACAGAAGCATGTCTAGTGTCATCCTGTTTTGAATTGTCATTCTAGAAGTTGCCTGTAATTGTATGTTTAATTCTTTAAATCCTTTTCTTGTAAAATTGGCCAATTTTTCTACTTGTCCTGTTAAGTGATAAAGCCATTCTCTATTTCTATAGGACGCTATTGGGTTCAAAAGAGACTCTAAAGGCCAGCCAATTTTTACTCCTGTTGATGGTTCATTCCAAGTGTCATCATCTGTTTCAGACCTTTTGATTCATTGTAATTTTAAGTTTTCCAGGGATCCCTTGAATGGTGATTTCTTCCAAATTGGACACAATGTTGGCAGGCCTAAAGTAATTTGTTTCATCTTACTATCTACTGGTAAGTGTGTTGTCCAGGTGCCATCCCTTAATGCCCAAACTAAATGTCCTGGACTCTGAATGGTAGATTTCTTACAACTAGAAAAGTATCCTATTCTGGGTATAAAGATACTAGTCATGGTGAGGTTATTATGAAAACCTCGGCAATAACAACCAAACTTTAAAGCAGCTGCCAAATGAGGAATTCTTCTAATTATTAAGTCTGCATTGCTGCAATCATATACCTTTTCACATTTCTACCATAGTACTACATGTTCCTTTTCTTGTCGGGTAGTGCCTTTATCTACTATCAAGGGAAGGATTGCAAACACTTTATTAATCCAGATACTGTCCCAAGTAAAACACGAAGGGGTTCTGGCCATGTACTGAAATCGTAAAAATACGGACATAGACCATATAGAGTCTCACCTTGCTTGGTTTTGGGTACTTTGCCTAGTTTTGCTACACTGCCATTCCATGATGCTCCTGCTCACATTGTTTTTAATTTGTTCATCATATGAACACCATCCTAGATTAGGGTTTGGGCCTTCTGGAAGGAAAACTCAAGCCAAAGCACTAGGTTGAGACCCTGTTACAAAGTCATAATTTAGTAGTTTTTCGCAGTCTGATTTCTTTCCTGGTGATTTCCATTGTTTCCTAATAACTTTCACTTATTTATACCATTGAATCACTGACCTTTGTTTGCAATAAAGTCTCATTTTCATGTTCCAAATTGGTCAAATTCATAGTTAAGATTCCCCAAGGAATAGATTTACCTACTGCTCTTGGAAATGGTAAACAAGCTGTGATCTGGGTGACATTTTGTAAGTTGGCGAATCCCTTAAACAATCCTAATATCAAATTTTCCTCAGGCATTTCTTTGGGAATTTGGATTAATTGTTTTGTATCTGATTGCCTTCTGTTCCTTGCCACCAGATCAACCCATGATTCCACCAGCGTCACCTTCCAAGCCAATATAAGGAGAACAATCACAAGCTGTTATGAAATATTAGACATGTTTTAAAGTCTTTGGGTCACATCTTATAATTTTCCATGGAATAGGTGCTTTCTTCACTCGGGTATAGTGTATCCAAGTATCTGATTCCACAATCTTGATAGCCATGAAGGTGGTTAACAGTATCTGGAAAGGTGTTTTTCAACCTCCTGCAAAGGTTTGGAAGTCCACATTTTTACATAGACATAATCTCCTGGTTGAAATCATGCACCGGATGTTCTAGGGATAATGGTCTATTCCACACCACTGCACTCCAAATCGCAGTCAGTGTTTTTCCTAAAGAAAGCAAATAGTTATACACATCCTGTTTTCCTTTTACATGCATGTTTGGATTTGGTTCTGGGGACTTATAAGGTTTTACATACAGTAATTCATAAGGACTGACTGAGGTTCCACTCTTTGGTTGTACTCTGATTCGTAATAATGCCAATGGAAATGCTTGAGGCCATTTTAAATTGGTCTCTTGACAGATCTTACTTATTTGCCTGTTTTAAAGTCTGGTTCATTCTTTCTACTTTTCCACTGGATTGTGGCCTCCATGGAGTATACAAATCCCAAGTGATACCCAGAATTTTGCTAACATTTTGAACTATTTCTGCAACAAAGTGTGGACCTCTGTCAGACAAAATTCTAATAGGAACTCCAAATCTTGGAATTATTTCTTGTAATAACCACTTTACTACTTCATTGGCTTGTGTGGTGCGACAGGGAAAAGCTTCTGGCCATCCTGTAAAAGTATCAACCCCCACCAGAATGTATTGGTACCCATTTTGTCTAGGTAATTCTGAAAAATCTACTTGCCAATAATCTCCAGTTTCTGTACCAGATTTTAATCTACCCATTTGAACTCTTTTCTTGATTACTGGATTATTTTTTAAACATACTTCACATTTTGCAGTTATTAATTTAGCCATGTCTATAATTTTAACAGATATAACTTGTTTTTATAAAGAAGTTACTAAAGCTTCTGCTCCTTAATGATATTCTTGATGTTTGGTTTGCATTATTTCTCTCATTAATAAAGGTGGAACTACTACTCGTCCATGAGGAGTAATCCACCATTTCGCTAAATTTTTCTTAGCATTCAAAAACTGACCTAATTTTCATCTTCTACTGAATGTTTTGGCCTTTCCCTTGGAAGAGTTACTGTTTGAAGAGAATTAATGTCATTTGGAATGTTTGTTCCTTTGCTATTTTTCTTGCTGTTTGGACAGCCAAATTGTTTCCAATAATTTTTTTTTTTTGTATTTCTGATTTGGTGTGATTTACAGTGCATGATTGTTACCTGATTTGGTTTTTTTGAACTGCTTGTAATAATTGTATAATTTAATTTTGATGCTTAATATTTGATCCCTGAGAGGACAATAATCCCTTTTCTTTCTATAAAGCTTCATGGACATGTACCACCCCAAAGCATACTTTGAGTCTGTCTAAATATTTAATTTCTTCATTTCACTTAATTCTAAGGTTCGACTCAAAGTAATGAGTTCTGATTTCTGAGCTGATATGGTACTCGTCAATGCCTTTGCTTCTATAACTGTGGTGTCTGCTGTTACCACATATCTAACATATCAAACTCCTTGATTCATAAAGCTTCTGCCATCTGTATACAACTCCCAGTCTGGTTGTTCCAATGGTACATCCTTCAAATCTTCTTGACTGGAATAAACATATTCGATAGTAGTCAAGCAGTCCTGCTCCAGTTGGTCTTCTTCCTGTGTGGAACTTAAAACACTGCAGGATTTAATAGGTTAGTTGTTTTTAGAATCACATCATCTTGTTCAGCCAGTACTACCTGGTACTTCATCATTCAGCTCAGAGATACCCAGTGTCCCGCCTTCTGTTCTAAAACAGTTATCACCATCTGTGGGACATAGACTGTTATTGTGCTTCCCAGAGTTAATTTCTGAGCTTCCTGTATGAGCATCACTGTTGCAGCAACAGCTTGAAGGCACTGTGGCCACCCTTTACTCACTGTGTCCAGTTGTTTAGAGAAGTATCCGACAGGTTGTTTCCAGCTTCCCATTTTCCAAGTCAGCACACCTAGTGCCAGGCATTGTCTTTCGTGAACAAATAGCTGAAAGCCTTTGGTTATGTCCAGAAGTCCTAAGGCAGGTGCAGACATTAAAGCATTTCAATTCTGTGACAGCCCGTTGTTGCTGTGTGCCCCATGTAAAAGGAGAGTTCTTTTGGGCCTCATATAGCAGTTTAGCTGTTAGACCACAATTCATGATCCAGAGGCAGCACCACCCTGTCATCCCTAAGAATACTCAGAGTTCATGAATATTGTTCGGCTCACATGGCTTCTCAGTGTTCTGTTCCTAATTGCCGCTGCCCTTTTGAAACCTCAAAGTCCAAATATATCACAGTCTGACATTCAGTGCCAGAAAATTAAAAAGATCTATTGTTACCTGTATGTAGATAAATCTTTCTTCTGTAGCAATCAGTGTGTCATCCACATATTGTAAAAGCAAATGTCCAGGTTTTGGTTTGTCCTGTTTCCGTGTTTCAAGCTCCTTTGCCAGCTGATTTCCAAAAATTATTGGGCTATTTTTAAATCCTTGGGGTAGTCTTGTCCATGTAAGCTGCATCTTTCGTCCTGTTTGTGGATTTTCCCATTCAAAAGTAAACTATTTTCTGTTTTCCTTCCCCAAAGGTATACAAAAGAAATCATCTTT